ATTCTATCAGATGCATAAGTTGCTGAGATCTATTATATCAGACTGAGAGTGTCAATTCATAAGTACTCTCTGAATAAGAATCTGTCAAGTTCTCAAGATTATATATTATTTATCAACTGTCTATTATCTGAAGACTGATAATATATCAGAATGAATAATTCAGACTGTAAAAAATTATCTTTATCAGTTCTGCAATCACTTATAAGATAATTGATACAATTTTCTTCTACACACAGAGATCACTATCAACAGCTGAGATACTGTCTCAACAGATGTAAGTCTGTTCTTTCTTACACATGATTATCATATGAAAGTATTGAATCTTCTGAAAATCACTTATTTCATATCAAATTCCTGCAGTTCAATTCAGATCACTGATAATATAGTAATGAAGCTTTGAGACACCTGTAACTAGACAGAAGTCTTCATGACAATTGTAAAACAAGATTAAGAGAATTAAATCAATGTTCATCAAGATTCTGCTGAGCAGTATAAGATAGAAGACTTAGTGTGATTGAATCTTAAGAATATATGAATTACATATTCATCTTATACACTGAATTACCACCATATCAAGTATAAAGTGATAGAAGTTCTAGGTAGCTACAACTACTGTCTTGACACATTATCAGAAATTCATGATGTCTTTCACACAAGCTTGCTTCACTGCACTGTCACTGATTCATTCTCTTCTCAACTGACTTCTGACTGACAGCTGCCAGGGATCATAGAAGAAGATAATGAGCTTGAGTGAGAGATTGAAGATATTCTTGATAAGAGATCATGCAGCCGCAGCTGACAATATCTTGTGAAATGAGTCAGCTATAATCAACTGACCTGGACTCTGAGTTCTGTGTTATCTGAAACAGCAGCTCTTGACCGATGAGAACTGCTTCTGAAAGAGAGGGGCTAATGTGGCAGGCTGCGCCTGATCAATTATATAGACTATTCTGTACACTTCATAGATTTCTACCGCTTCATTCCCGATCGCCGATTCTCAGCCGCCATGAATGTGTATGTTCTGATCAGCCATTCTCGATCGCCGATCCTCGGCCGCTATGAACGCGTGTATATTCTTCTGCCCCGAAGCTCCACCGCGTACGCCATCACATACATGTATAAATATTCACTTCAATCACTAATTCTTGTACTTTCTCTTTCTTTTTCTTCTTTAATGTTTTTCTCTTTGTTATATAAGACCTATATATTATACCGATCTATTCAGCGTAGACCTCTTACACTTTTACTCAGATACATTAGTATGAAATAATAGAATAGAATGTATAATTCTATTTTATTGATTTCTAGAACTGCTGTAATAATTAATAGAGATAATCAGAAGACATTAGTATTCAGCTATCAGAGATAAAATTGTTGAATTTACTAAAGACTAACTACTGTGAAAGTATTCATCAAGAATATTTTCATTAATTAGTGAATAAAAGTTAGAAGATCAAAGACAATCAGATACTATCAAGTAGATATTAGAAAATTTCTGATATCAGAAAGAAACTGAAGTGCTGACTAAGCTTTTAAACTGCAATAGCATTTCAAATCTCTTACTGATAATAGAAGAAACACTTACAAAGTCTATAAATTTTCAAGCTAGTATGTGTGCAACATTCTATCTGCAAATTCTTACTTATAAGAGTTGCTGAAACTAGCTTAGTCAATGGCAGTATCAATACAAGTATAACTGAATAGAAGTCAACTTCTCTGTTTTTAATTCTATAATGTAAAGTAAGCTACTGTTCTGAAGCACAGTACAATACATTAAACATAATACTAATTAAATAAATAGATAACATCTCAGATAATATAAGACTGTAAGTATGAACTCTGTAATCTTCTTGTATTAAATATACAAAGATGACAACTTTAAATCTCAGTCACTACTTTTGACTAATTAACATAGAAACATGACTTCTACATTAACTTTAAAAAGAGAACAAAGTAAGTTCTGAAATAAAGAAATTGATGAGATCTTCAAAAAGAATTAACTTCTTATCTAGACAGCTCTAAGAAAGATAAGAAAGTAAAGAAGAGCAGCTGTACAGAGACAGAGATAGTTCTGTACAAACATATATTAACTATTAGATAGGTTAAAAAGAATTAATTAATATATCACACATCATAGATCTTATCAAGTCTTACAACTCAAGTTAAAAAAAACTTCTAAAATAACTCAAGTGACTCTAAAGAAAAATATAAATGATTAAGTCACTCTTCTCATGAAAAAGACAAGTCTAGCTGATTCAGTAGACTCAAGCAGAAAAAATAAAGTAGACTCAGAGAATAAAGTCTCAGATATAGAAATGACTCAAGAGACTAGTAAATCTATGACTTTAAAAAAAACAAAGTCATCTACTCAGAATCTTAAAACATTATCAAGCACTGTTAGAACTGTCTATAATACAAGACTATCAGAGATTAACAAAGTAAGATTAATTATAGATAATAAATCAATCTGAGTCTCTCTGAATAAGATAATCTTAAAGTGTGTAACAGTCTATAAACAGCTGTTTAGTTTTTTAATAGAAAAATAAGATAAAGATGTTCTATAAATCACATGCTTCAGCATAAGCTTCTATGTAATTGTGTATAAAAGTCAAAGTAAAAGAGATTCAGATCTGTAAAAATTAAAAGATGCTAAGTTTAAAGTAAATGAATAAAAGATTGATGTTACATTAGTTAAGTTTGATGATATAGACAGAATCAGATTCTATACTTATTAACTACTGAGAGAACTCATGAATTCAGCTCAAGATATACAAACAGTATTGAATACTCTCTTCAAAGTCAAGAATACAGCAGTCTCAGTATATTAAATTCAAGAAATAGTTACTTTAAAAATCTCAATTAGTATATTTATTATGTCATTTATTACATCTATTCATCTCAATACAAAAATCTTAGAGATCAGAACATTGAAATAAGACTGACTAATTAAAAAAGAGAAAATGTGATGTATACTATGCAGTGAAAAAGATCATAAGTCTGTAGAATACAATATAAGTGAGTGTAAGATAAAACTCTCAGAAAATTTAGTTACTCAAAAACTCAAGACAGTAAGAAAGAAAATATCAGAAAAAAAGTAAATAGAGAAGAGAAAAACAGATGATACTTAAAATAAGAGAAGAAGAATTCTTTGAGAAAAAAGCTTAAGAAAGAAATATTATATGAAAATTTCAGATAAAAGTATTGATAAAGAGACAGAGTCTGTATATTAAAATCTCTTCAAAAGTTTATACTTATTTTATAAAAGAAAAAGAATTAAGAGAATTAAAATATTGAGTATAACTTCTAATCTATTGATTAGACTACTTCTTACACTTATTAAAAAATAAAACTAGTCTCACTTAATGTAAAGAGATTAAAGAACTTAGATAAGTTTAAAAGAGTTCTGATCTATTTAAGAGATCTAAGAGTTAATATAGCATTTTTATGTGAAATATACTTAGTTGAGAGTCGGGTCAAGATAGTATAACAGCTTTATCAGAGAGTAATAATGTTCATTAATATCTCAGCTATTAACAGTATAAGTGTAATATGAATTATACTAAATCTGATAAAAATATATGTAGAAAAAGTCACATGTTTTCACAGAGACAAAGAGAATAGACAGATCAGAATTAGATGTTATATTAAGAGATTAACTATAATAGTAAAACTAATGAGAATTTATACTTTAAATTAAGAGACTACTTAAAGAAACTTCTTACAAAGTATAGTCTGATATCTGAAATCAGAGTGAGAACAGATAGACATAATCTTAAGAGATTTTAACTGTGTATTGAAAAGTCAAGACTGAAACTCATCTTGAGAGAAAGATTTAAGAATTTAAAGAGTACTAAAAAGTGTGATGAAAAGTAACTCTCTAATGAATAACTGATATATAATGAATCTGAATCAGAAACAATATATGTATACTGAATTAGCAGAGAGATTCTTATTCAACAGAATTGACTGAATTCTGTGCATCTCTAAAGTTTTCTGAAAGTCAAGTAGATGAGAGATAAAACACATCTCTGATTGAACTGATCACAGTACTGTGCTGATACAGTACTGCTCTTAAATAACAGTGAAGATAAGTAAAGAAGTCTGGCACATGAATATAAATCTATTAAAGTACTTATTTATATAAGAGAGCTTAAAGTCAGTAGTAAAGCAGCTGATCAGTAATACAATAAGTACATGTACACTGCTTTTTACAAGATATTATTACCTGTGACTGTGAGATCTGTAGAAGAGATTGAACTTGATTAATTATTCTAGTACTAGCAGCAACTAATATATATATGAGTCACCTGAGTGACAGTTAGTGAAGAACCTTCAATAAGATCTTTCATTGAGAATATCTTTAATCTCTTATTCAAGTTCATTATCTTCTTTTATGATTTCTAGCAGTTGTCAGTCAGAAGTCAGTTGAGAAGAGAATGAGTAAGTAGTAGCACAGCAGAGCAAGCTTGTATAAAAGACTGTAAGAGGCCTACACCGAATAGATCGGTATAATATTGATAGGTCTTATATAACAAAGATAAAAACATTAAAGAAGGAAAGAAAGAGAAAGTGCGAGAATCAGTGATCAAGATGAATATTTATACATGTATGTGGTGGTGTACGCGGTGGAGCTTCGGGGTGGAAGAATATACGCGCGTTCGTAGCGGCCGAGGATTGGTGATTGAGAATGGCCGAGAATCGGAGCGTACGCGTTTGAGAATGAAGTGGTTGGAATCTGTGAAGTGTAACGAAATAGTCTATATGATTGATCAGACGCAGCCCGCCACAAAGACATTATAAATCTCTGACAGTGTATTAAGACAATAGTTATAACTGTCTAGAACTTCTATTACTTTGTATTTAATAAAATGTTTTTGTAGCACATGAGTCTTGATGTGTTAATTATTGCAGAGCTAGTCTGCATTAGAAAACAGTGATTCTACAGGCGGACTGCAATATAGTAGAATTGAATATTTTCATCATCATCATCATCCTCCCCTGTAAATCATTAATTTGATTGCTTCATAGTAACTAATTTTTTTAAAAAACAACATCTGCATGGCCCGGCCTGCAAGCTATCTAATCATCTTTGATGAATTCAACAGCCATTTTCAAGAGGCACTGAACATGGTTCAATTTTCCCTGAAGAGAGGTGTTCTCGCGGCGCAGGCATTCAATCTCAACTTCTTTGGCATCAAGCAACTCAACACTATTGTCCCTGACATGGTGTTTGGCGGGGCGGGCCAGGGCTGTAACAGCAGCAGCGGGTCGTTTGCGGGGGGAGAGGTTCTGCTTGACAACTGCGGTGGGCTTCTTTTCCTTCTTCTCCTTCTTCTCCTTCTTCTTCTTCTTCTTTCTTTTCTTCACCTCTGCCTCCTTCTTCATCTTCTCCTTCTTCTTCTCCTCTGCCTCCTTCTCCTTCTCCTTGGGGTTGGTGGTTCGGTTGCCTAATTGTATATCAGCTTATTGCTAATTTGCACTTGAATTCATAGTATAGACTTACTCAAATGATAGAAGCAATGGCTCCCCATGCTGCTATAGTGGCAGCTGGCACATGCATCTCGACAATGGCCTTGAAGATCAATATAACTTGTAAATGAGCCTTCGCCCCAGGCGCAGTGGTTGCAAGGTTTTTTTGCAGTCATTCTCCGCGAATGCAGCAGTGCAGTCTCCTGATTGACAGAACAGCTCAAATTGAGAGTCTTGCCCTCCCGCACGTCCACCGCGCGGACATGGGACAGTGCAAGGAGAGCAACAGTCTCTGCTGACGGTTTATTCATCAGGGTCTCAGCTAGAGCTGTCCAGCTCTCAGAAGATGACTCAGTGGCCGCAGTGAGGGGACGGGAGGCACTGAAGGCATGGGGGGGGGTGGGCAGTAGACTTTTCGCGGGCTGCAATGACAGCAGCACGGGCAGATGGAGGGTAGGAGCTGCTCGTGCGCGGGGGGGGGGAATGGCAGTGATCTCTGACTGCAGTAATCTCATTGTCAGCTTCCTGCTGAGTCATTCAATTCAAAGCTACAGCAATAGAGCAGTCTGCAATGATTACAGCTATACTGCTGTTAGATCTGCTATATAGACTCTTTTTCTCAACTTACAGAGAAGATGTGAGTCCTGCTTGGCCTGCATTTTTCTCATAGCTCAGGCCGCAGAATCTCTTGTTGCTTGAACTTCTGCTTGATTGATTGAAGTAAACATGAAATCATCTGAATCAGACTCATTGAGAAGAGAGGGCATGGTCTTACTGCTGCTGCAACAACTGATTATTCAATTATTTAATGATTTGACTTGATTAAGATTATAATCTATGACTACTACTACTATATTTTATGTGGGTGACTGGCTTGCTATGTATTAACTCATCAACACTTAGTGTTTTGCAGATATAGATTCACTGATATTTGAACATGTGATCATTCACAGAGTGGCTATTTCTATTCTATTCATACAAAAAAAATGAGTATTCAAACTCTTGAATCCTTGTAATTATTGAGATCTGCATCATATAGATCATCAAAGCTTGAGAGCAGTGAGTTATAGAGCGAGTGTCTTGCTGATGAGAACTGACAGATTGTTAAGTCAAAGGCGTCTGTACACACTGAAGAAAGAGATAAGAGTGAAGAAGCTGCAATAGAAGCTGTAATAAGGTGTAGATAATTAGTAAAGTAATGATAGATCTTAGTGATTGTTACTTACATGTTGCAGTTCATGTCTCTCTGTATTCAAACATCTCATTTTCATTGTATTGAATTCGTCTTTGCGAAATCTGTGATAATCAAATGCCTTCTCAAAGAGCAATTCTTGATAGAACTTCACCTGTGAGACAGCAACATAAGTCAAGCCAGCTGCAAAGTTCTTCTTGATAATGTTCAGAACAATCTTATTGAATGATAGACCTTGAGATTTGTGAACTGTAATAACATAGGCAAGAGTTATGAGAAATTGCATGTGAGTACAGATAGACTGACCGTGTGACCATGTCTGAGATCAGAACCAGATTTTTTGATAGTTTCATTATCAATTCAACTGATCCTATTACACAGTTTTAATATTAGATAGTAGTCTCATACTGTCTCAGTAAGACTTACTGTCTACTCTTGTCACATTTTTCAAATGAGACCATGATTTCCACTTCTTAATTTAAATTATTTTTATTAATTTAAATGACTTTAAATCTCATTTGAGTGTTACCAAAAAGCATTACTTTTTAAAAAATTAAAAATAGTCTAAAAAAAACCTTAAAATGTCTAAAAATAGTAACTTTATGCCAAGAATGAAACTAAATGAAATCAAATGAGATCACTTTCTCATTTTTTTCAAGTCATGGTTTCATTTTAAGATCTGATATATAGTCACTTTACATGTTTTTTTAATGACTAGTCCCAGCAGGATTCACGTCAAGAAATGTATGAGATCAGATCAAATGAGACTAAACATGAAATTCATAATCTCAGTGATCAGTCTAATACTGATCTATTCAGTATAAGTCTCTTACACTTGAAAAATATTCATTATCTTCTTATTAGAAATAATTACTCACTGAGATATCTGAACGCGTAATAACATGTAAGAAACAGAGAAACAATCAGTTAAGTACAGACTGATCAGTAGTACTATAAATTTCACATTTGAGCTTATTTGATCTGATCTTATACATTTCTTAATATGAGTTTCATCAGAACTAAGTCTTAAAAAAATCTGAAAATGAATCATTTCTGAGAGAAATGATGTGAAAAATGACTAGATTTAATTCAAGAACAGTGAAATGAGAGAAATTTCACAGAATAAATGATGAAAGTGAATCATTCTTTTAAAATCAGAATAAAACTGAGTGTAAGAGGCCTACGCTGAATAGATCAGTATAATATATAGGTCTTATATAACAAAGAGAAAAATGTTAAAGAAGGAAAAGAAAGAGAAAGTATAAGAATCAGCAATTGAAGTGAATATTTATACATGTATGTGATGATGTACACAGTGAAGCTTCAGAGTGGAAGAATATACATGTGTTCATAGCAGCTAAGAATCAGCGATTGAGAATGACTGAGAATCAGAGTATATGTGTTCAGAAGAATATATACACGTTCATAGTAGCTGAGAATCAGCAACTGAGAATGAAGCAGTAGAAATCTATGAAGTGTAACAAAATAGTCTATATGATTAATCAGGCACAGCTCATCACATTAGCTCTTTCTTTTCAGAAGCAGTTCTCATTGATCAAGAGCCACTGTTTCAGATAACATAGAACTCAGAGTTCAGGTCAGTTGATCATAGCTGACTCATTTCACAAGATATTATCAGTCACAGCTGTGTGATCTCTCATTGAGAATATCTTCAATCTCTCACTCAAGTTTATTATCTTCTTCTATGATCCCTGGCAGTTGTTAGTCAGAAGTAAGTTGAGAAGGGAACAGGTCAGTAGCAGCGCGGCAGAGTAAGCTTGTATAAAAGATATCATGAATCTCTGATGATGTGTCAAGACAGTAGTTATGACTATCTAGAACTTCTATCACTTTATACCTGATGTGATGATAATCTAGTGTATGAGATGAACATGTGATTCATATATTCTTGAGATTCAATCACACAAGATCTTCTATCTTATACTGTTCTGTGAGATCTTGTCAGATGTTGATTTGATCTTCTTAATCTTGTTTTACAGTTATCATGAAGACCTCTGCTCAGTCACAGATGTCTTAAAGCTTCATTACTATATTATCAGTGATCTGAATTAAACTGTGAGAATTCAGTGTGAACTGTATAGTCTCTAGAAGATTTAACACTTTCATATGATATCTGTGTGTAAGAAATAACAGACTTACATCTGTTGAAATGACATCTCAACTGTTGATAGCAACTTCTGCATATAGAAGAAGATCATGTCAATCATCTTGTAAGTAATTACAGAACTTACAGAGATAATTCCTCACAGTCTGAATTGTCTGTTCTGATGCATTATCAGTCTCAGAGTGATAGATAGTTGACAAACAGTGTGTAATCTTGAGAACTTGATAGATTCTTATTCAAAGAGTACTCATGAATTAACAGCTCTGATCTGATACTATAGATCTCAGTAATTCATACATTTAATAGAACAGACTCTGTAGAAAAGCTTCAGTGACTTATTCAGTATTCATCTTATCACAAGATTTCAATATTACATCTTTGCTTAATTAATTCATGATGATCAGGATGTTTCTACAATTCTTACTCTCAGAGAGATTGACAGCAAAGTCAATTATCATATCTCATTAGATTCTATCAGAGACACTGAGTGATTTCAGCAGGTCTTTTCTACAGTTCTTTTATAAGATGATGAAAGAATAACAGTTGCAGTTTCAGACAAAACATCTGATACTGTTTAATATCTCAGATCAGTAGAATTCTTGAGAGATTATTCAGTACAGTTATTCACAGCCTGAATAATCAGTTATACACAAATTGTGCATCTCTTGCATTATTCAGGTGTGTAAGAGTTCAGAGTGAGAGACTCAGCATTGTTCATAGAATTATAGAGTGTTGTTATCATCAATTGAACATTCTGAGATATCAGTTCTTATACATAGTTCTAGAGGAAATCAGAGTGCTTCTTGATATACTGCTTTGATGAGAGTCTGAAGAAGTTCATCAGCCTGAGCTGCTGTATATCACAGTTCATTCAGTGCAGAAGAAGTGAGGATATCAGTGTCAGTGTCAGTTCAGAGAGAGAGTGTTCTAATCAGAGAAATACATATAGTGTCATGAGTTGTTCTATCTTGATCAATCAATATCTTCGGATCTAAGAGCCGGTGCTCTCGGTTCATTCAACGAGTGTCTGTTACATTGAAAGGCATATCTTGCTCTTATCATAAGAGAGCATCTGCCATTGAGTTCTGGCTGCCAGGTCAGTAGTGTATTATAAAATAAAAGTGACTTAAGAACTTTAATCATCATATCTGTCATTCAGTGAGTTTACAGATTATTGTGAAGTGTTTGAGATTCTTATAATCTATGATTATCTCAAATTCAGAGATGCTTCAGAGTTCAGAGTCTTATTCTTCTAGACAGTGTATAATTGTAAGAAGTTTCTTATCATAGATCTTATAATTGCATTCAGCAGAACTCAGTTTCTTAGATATGAAAATGCATAATTATAAGACATCTTCATTATCATATTACAGGATGACTTCTTCTGTAATATAATCAGAGAAATCAGCTTCAATAACTGTCTCATGATCAGAATTGAATATTATTAGTAGAGAGGTATTAATGAACATCTTCTTCATCTGTGTAAATACAGCTTCAGCATTCACTAATCATTGAAATACTGAGTTCTTCTTAATGAGTTCTATAAGTGATCTCATGATATCTGAGAAGTTTCATATAAATCATTGATAGAAGTTAGTGAATTTGATGAAGCTTTGTACATCTTTCACAGTGCACAGAGCCTCTCATTCAACAATAGCAGAGATCTTCTCAGAATTCATTCAGATTCTCTTGCCGGCTTCTATAATAAAGTCTAGATATTTTGTACTTTTAATCTCAAAATTACACTTGTCTATGTCTATCAGCAGTTCTGCTTCTCATAGTTATTGTAATATCTTTTACATGTGTTCTTGATATTCTTTCCTGAATTCATCAGTGAAGATGAGAATATCATTAAGATATGCAGATGCAAATTTATCAAGAAAGTCTCAGAGTGCTCAGTTGATATACTTCTGAAATATACTGAGAGTGTTAGTCAGTTCAAAGAATGTGACTACTTATTCAAAGAGATCATATCATGTTCAGAATACTGTAAGCCACTAATCTTCTTCAGTAATACAAATCTTATGAAACACAGTGATAACATCTAACTTTGTAAAGCATTGAGCTTGTCTGATATGAGCTAGAGTTTCATTGATAAGAGATAAAGAATAACAGTTCTTCTTTATTAATCTATTCAATTCTCAATAATTCACACAGAACTGAAGTTCTTCATCTGATTTCTTTGCAAAGAGAATAGAGACTGCAGTGAAAGAGTTGCTAACATGTATGAATTCTTTATTCAACAGATTATTGAGTGTCTTTCAAAGAAGAAGAAGTTCATCTCAGAACATGTTATAAAGAGAGCCTTATAATGATTCAGAGTTCTTACTGTCTCTCTTTTTCAACTTGATACTGTGGTTCACTTCTGAACCTTGTAAGAGAGGTAGATTTGTAACATTATTATCTCATCAGAAGATATCTAGATATTCATGATATTATTGAGAGAGTTTTGTACAAGAATCTGTTATTGTAACATGAAATAACTTTTCTAGAGCCTTTTTGATATCAGCCAGACTGGCGGAATAGATTGACATATGATCCTGCTATTAGCAATCTTGTCAGTGACTCTGTCAGCGGTTTTGATGACAACTTCTTTTTCAGAGTATTTCATAAGCATTGACAGAGATCTGTGTAAGGTTCATAGTCTTGTGAATATCATCTTTGTAAATTCTATCATTGTTAGGGAATATCAAGCTCCTGTTTCAAGTATCTAATAAGATGCCTTGTTCAGATAGCCAGGCAAGTTCTAATATAAAATTATAATCAAGATTATCAACTTTATATGCATAGGCATTTTCATGTTAATGTTCTTTCATATCTATGTTTAGTTTCACCATGTAATAGATACAAACATCTTTTGAATCATTAAATCCTGAAAGAAGTTGAGGTTTTGATAAGAGAATACACTGAAGGTAATAATGTCTTACAACTGAAGATTTTATCATTGCATAGTGACATAGACCACTGTCTATCATGACTTTCATATTATACATATTATCAATCACAGTAGATACAAGAATCACATTCATTGTCATTTTCTCTTCAAATCATTGTCATCTGATCTCCTCAAGCTTCTGTTTGCGAATTTGAACAGAAGCTAATCTTTTCCCTGTTTCATTGAAGCATTCTTGTAGTTATCTTCTGAATCTTCCTTCACTGCA